AAGTCCGAAATCTTTGAGTTCCTGTTCTATGACCTCATTAGGTATGGATGGACAGACATTTGATATTAATATTCTCTTAGCTGGAGAAATTAGTCTTCTTATACTCAGCTCAATGGAATTTACAGTTACAGTGGAATGCTCTAATATAAGTTGGTCTACAAGTTAGGTTCTTTATAAGTAGATACAGATTCGTTTGTTTGATATTTTCGATGCAAAACAAACATTTTTGGGATTAACGATGTTTCCAACTGCTTTAACGTAGTCCAATAACGCAAGATTGAGATGAGAATGTATGATAATTGTTTGTTCTTTTTTTGGAAAAATAGGATTAGGTCTTGTTTTGGCTGCAGCAACGTATGAAGTTGTAGGTATACTGTTTTCTCCGTTATTCGTTCACATTATGGATTTAGTTACGGTTGAAGTAGTTTGTTTAATTTTGCTGCCCTTATAGTCAAAAGCAACAGGTTTAGAATTATCCATAATGGTTGTGATTATTGGCCAGTATCAAGATAACAATAACACACCATGTCGTATTACTGGTTGCCTATCTAATTGGCGTAAAGCGAAAGGCGATTTAACAGATAATAGTGTTTCACTAATGAGTACAAAAAAGTTCAGAGATAAACGAAATAATCAGTTCAAAACAGCAACTATAGTCAGATATTAAATAATACCTTTGCGCTTACTCGTAGTCAAGAGTTAACATCAGTTTCCAATACACTACACCTTTATGATTATATATTCAAAATTTAATAAATTTAAAATCCAAATATTCTTTATAAAACTTAAATAACGAATCTCAACACACAGAACGACCTTTACACGTTCAGACACCGAAATCCAGTCCGAGGTATTTTTAAATATTATTTCTACGCGTATCTAATAAAATAGGCTATAATGCCAGTGTACTCGGCAAAGTGATTCTAAAAAAGAACACACCTACCGCCTAAATATTTCGTGTTGGTATCATGTGACGTCACAGGCTATGACGCCGATGACGTGCATCGGTATGTAAATTAGATGAAGGGTATACTCATAAGAGTACACTATTTTTTTTCTGCTGGGCACTGTCATAACACGAAAGAACGCGGCACGGATATGTACTAATCGACCTTAAAACGTCTAGAAAAACATTCAAGTACCTTGGCAATAAACTTGCTTGATAACAGTCAACAAACTCAAAGACTAAAATGAAAACAAACCATTAAAACTGTAAATATCAGAATAGTTTAGATATAATAGATTATTTTTTGTAAATCTAAAGTATATGTATAGGATTATAGCATATAATTTAAATCTCATGTTTGTTCCATACCAGGGGTCCAGACATGGGACTGACCTCTCTAAAGTCAAACAAGAATGTTTTTAACTAAATTGCTAAATATACGTTATAAAAAATTACTTGTCCGAGGAGGCTTGAATTGCATACAATTAAATAAACTTTACTTAATAATTTTTATATCCTAATTTGTGTGTATCGTCTTTTCCTTATTAACTTTTTTGCATTTTTTTACTTTATCATCTCGTTCTCTTCTGGATCATTTATTTCATAATTTGAACACAATATGCTCATATTTTCTACCGCAAAACTTTTTACATTCGTTACAGACAAAAACTAATCATAACCATTTTCCCGCTTATAGAAAATTTCCCATTTCATAAACTTTGTAGATAATAAACCTGCAGCATGGACGAAATTTAGTTTTCTGGTGTTCATAAAATTTTACTTTTATCGACGAATAAAAATTCAGCAGTGTTTGAGTGGTTGCTTGATAGAAATTATTGACGCTAGGTTGCTGACTAGTAGATGCATTTGGTACATTACGATTCCTAAATTTTTCGCTTATTGATTTTATTCTGAAAAAAATAAAAGAAAGAAGACAACTGAAATCTGCATTATAAATGTTATACAGTACAGCACTTAGAGAAAATAAGTAAAAAAAATAGAAAAAATAAGTTTTAAAATACTAGTAAAATTATTCAAAATCCATCAATTATAAATATTTTGGTTAGTCAAGATTTCCGGTAATTTTTTTATTAAAAAATACTTTTAAAAAGGTATATTTATTTAACAAAAACCTTTTCGGGCTACATCACAGAACGTTTTCAGAATGACTATTCCAACATCAGTGCTTTTACTAGGCATACATATATTGTCTCAAATGGCCTTGAAACTACTTTTATGTTCTAAGCATATGACTATGACAGCTTCAAGAAGACCATGACTAACTTCAGGTCACTTAACGAATATAGGCTAAGTACGTTGTAATATGTAAGATTTTAAGTAAAACTTAAAAAGAATAAAAGTATATTATTTCATAATAACAAACATAAGACATGGTGTCAGGTAATTGAATAGATGATAAATAAAAATCTTAATATGGAGAGTAGCTTCAAGCCGCCGAAAAACCTGGTGTTTAACCGTAATTTCCACGTGAATTTGGATAATTTTTTAAGAAGCTTGGACATTTATTTGAAGGTGACCGGTTTGAGCGAAAAAGACGATGAAACCAAAGTGGCAATATTACTAAACCATGCCGGTGAAGAAGCCCAGAAAAAGTTCGAGACATTTAAGTTGTCAGATGCAGACCAGAAAATATTTAAGAGAGTTGTTGGGGCCTTTCAAAACCATTGTAAGCTAATGAGGAACGAGACTTACGATTAATACAAGTTTTTCACGAGAATTCAGCAAGAAGGTGAGAGTTTTGATCATTACATCACCGACATAAAAACCCTTGCGTCTCCTTGTAACTTTGGGGAACTAGAAGATTCCTTAATAAGAGATAAGATTGTAAGTGGCATAAGAGACTTGTCCCTACAAGAAAGATTCCTTCGTGAAACTAATCTAACTTTAAAAAAGGCGGAAGAGTATTGCAGAGCCGCTGAAATAATTTCAATTCAAGTAAAAGAAATAAGAAATGAAAAGGAAGTGGATTGTGTACGATATAGTAACAAGAAATCAATGCGACACAGTAGTAATAGACAGAGTGTTGATGTGTACAAATGTTTCAAATGTGGAACAAACCATGGTAAAATGAACTGTCCAGCGTATGGGAAAAACTGTCAAAATTGTGAAAACTAATCATGAGTAGGTTGTTTTAATAAAAAACATGGTCAGGTAGAATCAGATCAGGCAAGTCAATCAAATAGTAGGTATCATAATGTTAAAAATTTTGGATATAAAAATAACAATCTTTTAAGAAAACATGTACATGAGGTTGATAATGAGAGTTCAGATGAAGATGTTTCATATTCTATTGATATTTAATATTAGACTCAGTTGATAGTAATAATAATAAGGCTTGGTATGTACAAGCGCAGATTAACAATCAGGTAGTATCGCTAAAATTAGATACTGGGCTAGTTGTAACTGCATGCCTCTCAGTTTATTTAATAAATTAAATCTAAACAAAAATAAAATTGACAAGTCTAGTGTAACGTTTGTATCATATGGCAATAATAAGGCTAAAACAAATGGGAGTGTCATAATAAAATGTTTAATAAAAAATGCTGTCTATAATATAAAGTTTTTGTTGGTTGAGGAGGTGCCTCAACCTTCGGTGCCTATTTTGGGTCTAAATGCTTGTGTAAAACTAAATTTAGTAACAAAAAATTGATTCTACAAGATCACACGGAGACGACAAAGAAAGTTTTGTTAAAAATAATATTGAAGTTTTTGAAGGAACATGCAAAGTTCCTTTTCAGTATAAAATAATGCTTAAAAATGATTATAAACCATATATAAGTTCTTGTCGTAGAGCTCCAGATACAGTAAAACCATTGTTAAAAAACACAATAGAAGACTTAAAACGTAAAGACATAATGTGTAGGTTGGACGAACCAACGGAGTGGGTTAACAACATTGTAATTGTAGAGAAGCCTAATAAAAGTCTTAGAATTTGCTTAGATCCAATGCATTTAAATAATAACATATGTAAAGAGCAATTTCCTATACCCACCGTAGAGGAGTTGTCATTGAAGTTAAAAGGTAAGTCAATATTTACAGGATTAGACTTGAAAGAGGGTTTTTATCATGTCCCTCTTGACAGAAGTAGAAACACTGCTTTTATCACACCTTTTGGAAAATTTTGTTTTAAGAGGTTGGCATTTGGTTTAAATATTAGTCCACAGGTATTTCAACGTATAAACGAAAAGATTTTTGGAGATTTAGATATTGGGATATATTTTGATGATCTTATTATTCCAGCATCTGATGAGGAAACACATGATTTAATTTTGTCAAAAGTGTTGCAAAGAGCTAAAAAATTTGTAGTAAAATTTAACAAAAATAAAATTCAAAAAATTTAACAAAATCAAATTGTAAAAATAGCCGACGATTTAGAACAAGACAAATGGTTATATGGAGAAACTGCAGAATTAAATAATGGCGAAGCTGCTAATACAGATTCCCACGAATCAGAACAGAAAGAGGAGTCTGAAACACCACAAGAAGAGGAACCTAGACCAAAAGAAAATGCCGAAGCCGAACGAGAACATAGCCCTGACGCTGGGTATTGATACTGATGAAAGAGAAAGGCAAATGATGAAACTAAAAATAGTATGGAAGATGGTGAAGTACAACAAAATGGAGACGATAGTGAAAAGGAGGACCTCGATGATGACAGCGACGATGATGTTAATGTAGTTATTGGTGATATAAAAACGACTACGCCTGCTTCATATACAGCTTTAAACATAAAAAGAGGGGGTTTACTTAGTGCTGTCGGTGATAAGAACAAGCAAATTCAGCAACAGCAGCAACCTGAGAAGTTTAGAGTGGACGAATTTGAGCAAATTGGGACTATAAATGGAGTACTAGCATCTTAATTTAATTTGGATAGTTTAGAGGATAAACCATGGAGAAAGCCGTGTGCTGATATCACTGATTATTTTAATCACGACTTAATGAAGATACATGAAGAGCTTATTGTGACAGAAAAAAGCATACGAGTAAATTATTCAGGTACTGGCATTAGTACCAATGACCATGATAACAGTAAATGATACTGGAAATTTTGCAGGTAACAACCAAAGGATGCAACCCCAACAGAAAAAAACTGATCAAGTAACTAAAGTGAACACTATTTAGGTTATAACAGCTGACAGAAGAGAGTATAGTAGGAAATCAGGATTTCCAGATCTCAGTGTTCCTCCGCCAGCTACATTTGAAAACTTTCAACCGGATTATGGATTTAATCCCGAACCAGAACCCTTTTATGGCCCTGGTTATGAACCGACACAGGACTGTCAATGGAGCAATGAACCACCTCCTGCATGGGCTCCTTCTGAATTGAAAACGTTGACAGGCCCACCTCCGATGGGACCACCATCCATGCATATGGGCCCACCACCGTCGATGGGAATGAGGTCACCAAGTACTCGACGTGATAGTAGTCCTCACAGAGAACATCGAGATCGTGAAAGAGAGTCTAGAAGTCGATCTGAAAAACCTAGAGATCGAGATAGGGAACGAGAAAGATCTCATAGAAGGGAAAGATCAAGGAGTAGATCTCGGAGACATAGATCAAGGTCCAGAAGTCCCAGTCATAGGTCTCACAGGAAGAAGAAGTCTAAAAGACACGATGATAGTGAATAGTGGTTGCCGACTTAACAAATATAGGTTAAGCACATTGAAATATGTAAGATTTCAAGTAAAACTTAAAAAGAATAAAAGTATATTACTTCATAATAACAAACATAAGACATGTATGAAACCACTAAATATACTGTTAAAAACCCTTTAAATGTTGTTAAATTGATTTTAATTTACATTGTTGCTGATAATATTCTAGGATATTTAAGTTTTAAACTTAATTTACTTCATGCCAAAGTAAGACTTTCATACTGGGGGTTACTGGCGCTAAAACTCTCTATACAACTACGAGAAATTCATATTCCTTGTGGATTATTTTTTTACCTTTTAAAAAAAATTGTATTTCTTGTATAAGACCCCCCTTTAGTAGTGTTACTTTTTAAATGTTTGACGTAAATTAAACATTGCAACACTTGGAGTAGTTATTTATACAGATTAGGTTAAATTATCAAAATAAACAAAATTTTGCTGATTTATTTTTCTAAAATCTTTTTAAGTTTCAAAAGTATATTAAAAATAATATTGTGCGTTCTAGTTAATTCGGTTATTGCTTTTTTTATTTCATAAACTATAGACCGCAAAAAGCCGAGGATTGCTGAAATATTTTAAGATAAAATTTTTATAATCGGTTCACAATTTGTCGATAGCTCACTACAAGTTTAACCCTAATTAGAGAACTGAAATACAGAGAGGATAGGTAATACGATATAATAGTAAAAACCAACCTGAAACTGACGGTTTAAGATGTTTTCGACTAACTCACCTTGTATCTGAAAGAATACAATACAGCAGTCAATCTAATAATCCGATTACGAAGGATTATTATCTATTACATGCTCTGCCAAAGACAAAGACCATATTATGGATTTTGATAATATTAAAATTTTATGTAGTGAAAGTAATAAATTTAAAAGAACTTTGTGGAAATGGTTTGTATTAGCAAAAGTGATAATAATTTAAACAAAAGGTCAGAAATTCAAAATCTAAGCAAAATTTATAATCATATTATTTCTATGTAATTTATATATTATGCAGTCAGTAAAATATCACATTTTGAATTTTCCATGTATTTGTTACATTTTTTCGGGCATCTATTAATGGTGAATAAATCTTCGTCTTTTTTGTTACTAAACAAAGAAGAATTTTTTAAACAAAATTTTATGTCAAAAATAAAAATTTTTAAGTTAGTATTTATGACATTTAGGCTGGTTTGTAGCTATTCAATTTTTGTTTACAAATTCAATTGTTTTTGTTAAAAAACTTTATCAAATTTTTTTATTAGAATAGGACATTTTTTTATTAATATTTTTTGTAATTAATATGGAAGCAGCAGTTTTATATAAAAAACTAATTTTATTTGGTGGGTTAACAAAAAATTTTTTATTTCTAGTTCAACTTTGTAAGATATTTTGTATTTTTTAGAAGCTCTTGATAATAATTGTAATCACAATTGAAAGCTCAAGTAAAAAATAGTCAACAAATAGCCCCTTTTATTGACTCCAACCTATCCAAAACAGTTTTATATTTTTTCCAAACGAGTCACAAGTACTTCTTTTTTCTTACTATTATATATATACATATATATAATATATATATATATATATATATATATATATATATATATATATATAATATATATATATATATAAGGTTCCTTTTGATAATTAGTAACACAACTGAGTTTCTGAAATTAAAGATTTATTAAAACATGTTCTATTTACATTATTTACACAAAATTTTACCTGAAATTAAAGAAACGACATTTAATGTCACTAACTATGGATGTTTTAATATTCCTATCCTAAGCACAAATAATCTCTGACAAAGTGACAAGTTTTTTAAATATAAAGATGACAGAAGTGGTTGTGTCTAATATTCCAGATAATGTGCTCGGTAGAGCGCGGCAATATTTGAATGATGAAATTATAATTTCATTACATCCCCCCTTCCCAGAGGAGAAAATATTCATGCCTTCAAATGTTTAGTAGTCGTCTACGTCTTCTTCATCTTGTTCTTCATCTTCAGGTGTTGAGATTGGAGTCAGCTTGGATATGTGGAACAGATTAGACTCTAATTTTCTTCGGTTCAGGTTTATTCTGTAAATTGAATTTGACAATTTTTCTGTAATTTCATATGGCCCTACTTTCAGTTCGTCAAGTTTATTCCTGTTTAATTTGTTTCCATTTTCCACATATACCAAATCACCTATCTTGAAATCAAAATGTTTACGATTTTTGTCATAAATTTGTTTATTATAATTATGAGATTTGATCGTTCTGTCTAAAGCAATATTTCTATTACGAATCCAATCTTTCTCAGAAGTTAATATTTTTAGTTCATTTGGCAACATTGCAACATTTTTGCCATACATTAAGTATGATGGTGCGAAACCAGTGACAGTATGTTCTGTTTCATTGTATTTGCGCACACATTCTTGTGCTATTGTTGTCCAAGAAGTTTTTTTTTCTGTTTCGTTAATTTTGCATCTGATTTTATTAATTAGGGTCTGATTTAATCTTTCATTCAAGCCGTTAGAAAATGGTGAATTTGTGGCAGTGAAGATTATTGGTATAAATTTTTCATCTAAAAAATTTTTAAAATTTTTTGAATTTATTCCTGGGTATTGGTCTGTTAGAATCATACCAATCTGATCTGTCTCTGATATGCTTTTCACAAGTTTAATAAAATCATTAGCAGTTTGAGTTTTCGATGTTAGGATATATGCATATCTTGTAAAGTGATCGACTAGAAGATGTAAATATTTTTTTGTAGATCGTGAACCTCCAAAACCTCCGATTGTGTCTATGGAAATAATTTCAAAAGGTTTTGTGGCTGGACCTAAATGTGACATTAATCCAAATTTTGCTAGTCCTCTTGATTTGTTTCTAATACATACTGCACAGCTTTGACATATTTCCTTTATATTTTTGGTTAAATTTTTAGCTGTATAGTATGGTCCTATCATCATATGCATTTGTTTTATTCCTATATGACACAAGTTTCTATGCACATCTTTTAAAAATTGTATAGTATAATCTTCGGTTAGAATGATTTTTTTTTCCTCTTACTTTTTTGTAATAAACATTATTTTTAGTTACTAGTTTATTATTATGTTTTATATCTTTATTTTTTTCTTGGTCTTTCAATATATCTTCAAGAGTTATCAAATTTGTAACTTTCAACTGCTCCTCCATATTTTCATCGGGTTCTAAGACAGGATTTCTGCTAAGGCAGTCAGCTTCTAAGTTATATTTTCCAGGGCAATATTTCACCACAAAATCATATTGCGATAAATAATATGTTAAATCACCTAGTTCTTCATCTGTTCTAGACTTTATATTCATATTCTCCAATGGCTTGTGGTCAGAAAAAACAGTAAATTTCTTACCTATTAAGTAATGTTGCCAATATTTAACACATTCTTTAATTGCCAGGCACTCCAGGTATATAGCTTTTTTTCTCTTCTGTACTTCATTTAGTTTCTTAGAGAAATAGGCCACTGGTTTTTCTTCATTGTTTTCCTGTGGTTGTTTTAGCACCCCTGCTATTCCTAGTAAACTAGCATCAGTATATATGTGTATCGGTAGAGTTGGATCGAAAATAGTTAGTACAGGTTGAGTTAACAATACATTTTTTAAATCTTCAAATGTTTTTTGGCATTCCTTAGTCCAATTAAATGGTTGACCTTTTCTCAGAAGATTATGCAAAGGATCCAATTTTATTGCTATTTTTGGGACATATTTATGATAAAAATTTATCTTCCCTAGAAACTGTCTAACATTTTTCTGTGTTTTAGGTATTGGAAAGTTTTTTATTGAAATCAAGTTGTCTTTCAGTGGTTTTACACAATTATTTTTTATTACATGACCCAAGTATTTTACTGATTCAGCTACAAACATGCATTTTACAAATTTTAATCTGAATCCTTCACTTTTGATTGCTTTAAATAGTTGTGCTAGATGTCTGATATGTTCCTGGAATGATTTTGAAAAAATGAGTATGTCATCTATGTAGCTCACTGTAAAATCTGCAAGTTTGTGTTTTCTTATTATGTTACACATTATTCTTTGGAATATTGCTGGAGATGTTTTTAACCCAAATGGTAAACAAGTCCACTGAAAGTGTCCTTCTTGTGTAACAAATCCAGTTTTGTGCCTATCTGTAATGCGCATAGGGATTGACCAAAAAGCAGAGTTTATGTCCAATGTTGAGAAAAATTTGCAATTTCTTGTCTTTACCATTAAATCCTCTATAAGTGGAAAGGGTTGTGATTGGGGTACTACAATTTTATTCAAGTCTCTAAAATCAATGCACAATCTTGACTTTGTATTTTCATCTCTTTTATAAGCTAATGTAACTGGGGCTGCAAAAGGACTATACGATTCTTCTATTAGATTCTTGTCTAGTAGCAACGCAATTTGTTTCTCAATCTCCTTTTTATCATCAACTGTGGTTCGATATGGCCTTTTGCTGCAATATTTCTCTTCCAATAAATCAATGTGTGCTTCATAATCCTTCACTGTCCCTACATCATATTTGTCTTTTGCAAAGACAGATTTGTTTTCACATATTAATTCATTTATTATTGATTGTTGATCACAATCTAAATGGTCTACATGAATTTTAAAATTTGTCTCTTCAAAGTGTTCATTGAAATTTATTAAATATTTATTTCTCATTTCATTTAAATTATTAATTTCATTTGTTTCCTTAGAATCAAAATTTATTTGTTGATTATTATCTCTTAATTTCACTAATGTAATGTCACAATTTTTTGAAACTGTTTTAATTTCTGTAGTAACATCATTTTGAATAGGCACTTTTTGACTTATTTGTAAATTTTCATTTTGACACAAATAGAATTTTTTTATACAATCTAAACCAATTAAAAAATCGTAATCAAAATTATCTTTTTCAATCACAAAGACTTCTGTCTCTTTTTCTATATCAAAAATTTTTACATGTAATTTTACCATACCACTGGTTTTTTTAATGCCATTAAT